CGATGTTTGCACAGGAACGAAATCCCGTAATGATGCATTTCTCAGAACGTATCCCTGTAGTTAAGTGACGCATGACTGTACTTCAAGATTGCTAAGAGACTAGATCTTAAACCCACAAAAAGAAATGATAATTATGTGACACGATAAAGCTATGGCGGTAATCATATTGCAATATATAAATGCATCAAATCAACATGTCGTACACCTTAAACTTATGCAATATTATATATAAATTATATCTCAATCAAAGAAGAATAAATAGACTGAGGTGGATATTTTTTGGAGCTCAAGTAGGAAGTGGTTATGAGATCAATGCAGAAAGTGTTACTTTCCTTTATTTTTCTAGATAAATTAAATCTGGTTCTACGTCCACACTCAGCTGGCTCCATTCTTCCGTTCATTGGATAGCGCAGAAATCCTGGACCCTGAATGTCCGGGGGCTTAATATTGTTGCGTTGCTTTTTAGCTATGTGATTTCTGATGTCAACAACTTTGCGGCCCTGGTACTTGAGACAGTCATGTTGCTTTCAGAGCCTAGCTTCTCTGTAAGGTCAAACACAGTGGATGTTTGACCTTGTTCTTAAAGCCCAGTGGGTAAGGCTCAGAACCCAGGAAGCTTTCTGCTTTCTACATTAGAACTTCTCTTCTCTCCTGAGATGCTGCTTGTGAGCTGGGCACAGGTCCCAGCACTTCAGAGCCTGCCATCCTATGGACTTCCCAGTCTTGCAGAAGCCAAACCCCTGTCACACAAGCCTCGAGCTATGTCCGTCTTCTGGTCTAGAGTAGCTGGTCTCCTCACATTTCCCTCAGGCCCCATAGAACTCCAGCACTTCTTGGATTGGCCCAGGAAGGGTTTTTTTTTAAAGGAGAAGTTTCTAAAATACAAGGAGGTAATTTCTCCCTCCTCCAATCAAGTTAAGATTGAGAGCAGAAAGGTTTGATCATTCTTTAGGAAAAGAGAGTTCAGCGAGACTCAAAGGGAGTACGAAGTAAGCGAGTCACATCTAGGACTGAGCAAGGGTGGCGCTGACAGCACCAAGAGGCTCACTTTCCTTTCCAACCAGCACTTGCTTCGAAAGCAGTCAATGGCTTCTAAGAGACACCGATGACCTAGGAGTCCCAGCATATCCTTTCTTATACCCGTTACTTCCATATACTAGCTAACCATTTACTCTAAAAATCATGACATAGAAGGAAAATGAAAAATAGGACAACTCACAGTTCCTTTTCTTTTCAGTCCTTTCTTATTTTTCAGCAAGCCAAAGGCAGAGAGTATTGGTAAAATGTGCTGTATCAAGAAGTGAAATAAAAAGAGTTAAGTTAGTTTTGTGCAGTGTTTCCACTGTTTTGCTAAGTATTAATGTACAAGCTATGAAATACAAATCATATAATTTTGGGGATTTTGCATATGAATTAAATGTTCTTATATTTGTATTTAAAAGCAGCTTTGTAAAATATAAAGATGGATGGCAAAATTCAGGCTAGTGATTTAAAATTTTGATTTTTCTTTAATTAGACAATATTAGATAAAAGACAGTGAACGTTGAGATAGAGAAAGAGAGAGAGATACTGTGGAAGAAAGGAAAAAGCTTTATGTTTTTATACCTTTAATGGCACCTCTCCCCTGCTTTTTCAAAAAAGAGTCCCACATTTTCATTTTGCATTGGACCTTGCAAATGAAGTAGCTGGGCCTGTGCCTGTACCAACGTTAAACTGCACAGATGTCAACTTTCCGTTTTCCTTTCTTGGCTCTCATGAGTCTGTACATGAATAAGGACATGGCAGCCACTTTGAAAATACTGCCGTCCTCCACACTATTCACTTAAGATGAATCTTTTAAAAATGCATCAGTTTACCAGCTATTTCATTGCAGAGACCATCTTCTACCTCCACTGTTTAATATATAGAAATTCTTTTCCTTATTGTCAGATTGATGTGTTTGTTACACCTGCATCTCAGAAAGTGATTTTTTTTTTTTTTTTGTGAGGAACATCAGCCCTGAGCTAACATCCATGCCAATCCTCCTCTTTTTGCTGAGGAAGACTGGCTTTGAGCTAACGTCTATTGCCAATCCTCCTTTTTTTCCCCTTTTCTCCCCAAAGCCCCAGTAGATAGTTGTATGTCATAGTTGCACACACTTCTAGTTGCTGTATGTGGGACGCCGCCTCAGCATGGCCGGACAAGCGTGCCCGGGATCCGAACCCGGGCCGCCAGTAGCGGAGTGCAAGCACTTAACCGCTAAGCCACGGAGCCGGCCCCAGAAAGTGAATTTAATATTTTAAAATCTAGCTCAAATGTTGTGATGAATATCTGAAATTGGAAGTGTGAAATACTTTGCCCAAGGTGGGATTTCTTCTTGTCTTGCAGTTTATTTACAGCAAGTATTAAACATGGCTTAAATATTAAAAATAAGAAAATGTCTATATTCAATAATGTAATTTTCTACAATAATTCTGAGAAATATATTTTATTGGAGATGAGTGTGTAACATCATGTTAAAATTGTTGAAATGACTTCTTATGTTGTTTAATGACTTTAATGTTGTTGTAACTCAAATTGGTTAGTAAAGCAACTTCATTTTTCCTCAGTAAACATTTACAGCCTAAGTGCCTTAGGGCATTATGTTCCACAGCATTTGGCATATAGTAAAGACCTTTCAAATTGTCTCATTTGGTTGGCTTTTTTTGATTCAGCAATTGTGACTACGGCTGCATATATTCCTATCTAGCATTATAGGTTATAGAATAAAATAAAAGGTATATATCACATAAATAATAATTTTTATTAACGGAAAGGAAAACTGACTAATGAGTATAAATTTCAGTGACTAATCCTTTCCGTTACTTTATTGTTTAGTTATCTGTTTTATTTTTCTCCTCTTCCTTTTTTCTGTATTCTATGATGGCACTCTGCCTGTATTGTTATTTGTAGTGTTAGGAAATAAATAGTAAAATATTTGCTCACTTGTTCATGTATTCATTCAATCAAAAAATATTTATGGATGAATTGATCCAATCTATGGAACAAAAAAGGTAAAGATTAAGTTAAAAAAATTGCAGATTGTCTCCAGTATCTGTCAGTCAAATAATCACTCAATAATTATATTATATTCCTTATGTTCCAGGCACTGAAGACTCAGAGTTCCTGCCCATGGGAAACTTTCTTCTTAGTGGTGGAGATAATAAACATGTATGTGAGCTTGAGCCAAGTGGTCAGAGAAGGCCCTGCTGAGAGTTGATATTCGAGCTGTGCCCTGAATGACAGGATGGGGTGATCTCATACTTGAAACCCTTCCTTCTCTTGGTACCAGCCCTGCGTCTTTCTGCTTCTCCTACTTTCTTCAGGCTCCATCTTGGCTCCTGATTCTCTTTATGTGTATGAACAGTATATTCTTCAGGGTGTGCTTCTTAGATATCTTTATTTCTTCATTTAGACCCCTGGTTCAAAACCTTTTCTGGTAACGAATTTTTGAGAATCTGAAGAAAAATATAGATCCTGTTCCCAGATAAAATGAACGTGCTGACACAATCTTATATAATTTTTAGGGAAATTAAAAGAACACCCTGAAGAACTCATGGAAACTGTAGGGGTGCCTGGATCCCAAGTTGAGGATCTCTCCTTTACCTGCTCTTCCCGCTCAGTTACAACCACACCTACAGTGTTAGCCTCACCAACAACTCCAAAATCTGTGTCCTCAGCCCAGCTCCAGCTCTGTATATCTGACTGCCTTCCAGACATTTCCACTGCATGTCCCAAAGTCACCTCGATTCGGCACGCTTAACAGGGTATACACTTCTCCCCCAATAATCACCATTTCTTCCTTCCTCCTCCACCCTCTGCCTCCATCTACATGTTCTGTCTTGGTGAACAGCAGCACTGTTCACTGAGCTGTGAAGTCTAGAATCCTGGGTGTCTACCAGCATTTCTGTCCCTCTGTCTGTACATTCTGAATCAACCATCCTTTCCTGTTCCAAGGAGCTGCCACATCTATCATCTTTTCCTCATTCCCAACGCCACATCTGCTCTGTAGTTCTACTCTCATTGCCCTTATCTATGCCTTTTAATCTCTCTCTTGGATATTATCAGAGAGTAGGAGTGGGATAGAAGCCATTCAGAAAAACGGGTGAGTTTGCTGATTTGGGATTGCTAAGCAGCACTAGGGGTCCAGTCAGTTGTCATTAAAAAGGAATTCCCTCACTCTTTACTGACTTAAATCCTTCGTAAAAGTGCAAGAGGTAAAAAGTTATAAATGAATAATATTTTTTTCCCCTAACCCAAAGACAGCTATTAATTTTCTCATCGTCTTTTCATTGACCAGTTAAACAGGTTCACTCCCTTTAATTTCCACATATTTTCATCTGTATTTCTATCTTTTGAATCCTTTCAGTATTTTTCACATACATATTAATGTTTAATTTAGAATTAGATGTTGGATCCTGGTAATTTAGTCAATTCAACCATTATATATTCTTTGTCCTCAAAAAATTGGAGATCCTGTAGTAGAACGTTATTAGGGAATGCTGGTTAGATTTACACATGATACAATTAGGCAAAGAAATTTAAGGCAATACAGTATAGAATGTAATAAAAGTGTTGAAAAAATATATGATCAACATGTCTGGCATTGAGATGGGTAGAAAAAAATGAGACCAATCATAAAATATATGCAGATTAGTGATTTCTGGTTTCAGGAAAGTCATGGCCCTTAAAAGAATGGCTGCCTGAGGAGACTCCTTTCCTGTGATTCTTCCCCCTGTGCTTTTGTCCTGAGCTGTGCTCTGAGGAGCCCCCTTGAAGAAAGAGCTGTGCCTGATTTTCCCCCAAGTGGATTGAAATCTGGGCTCCTACCTCTCACTTCCACAGGAGCAATCTGGTTTCATTTGTTTTATATGTTTGTCTTCTCTGTAAGATTGCAGTTAAATATGGAGTTCCAAGAAAGAAAAAGAAGGGAAATCATTGTCATGGATGATGGAAATAACCTTCTAAACAAAATATTTCTTTTGATTGTTTGGAAACTTCTCTCAAAAGTCAGAATGTTAAAATTTTATTGTAGGTAGCATTATTTATGTTTACTATATGACTGTGTGATGTGTCTGTTGAGAGTTCTAAGGTTTACCAGATTTTATTGTTTGGGTCTCAGGTGAAAAATTTCTTTCATTTATCCTAGCTATAATTTTGTAGAATCCTAGATTTCAACAGTAAAAGAAAACCCAAGGCAATGTCTGGGCCACCCTTCTGACTTTGGTGAGTAAGTTATACTTATTTACATTTCATAGATGTTATATCCAAGGCTCAAAAAAGTGACTTGTCCAAGACGTGTTATGACAATGGATGCCAATGAAAATTAGACTTTCCATGTAAATTTGTATAGATTTTGCAGTAAATATGCTTGAATATTCATGTCTTGAACACTTTGCTGACTAATATCCAGCAAATATGAACAAATCAATGGATTAAATTTTCACTGTTTCCACATGGGGGTAATATATTACTCAGTTGCTGAGTGTCGTCAATTTTTTATTTCTTTAATAAATTTTTTCCTGTTTTCTTTTCTTTAATAGAAACTGGTTCTCATTGTGGTTACTGCTCCCTTACAGCCAGCTAAAAGAAGCCTATACATTTACCTCAGGAACGCATTGGAAATCCATCTTGCATCTTCCTTTTTCCTAGTGCCATTTGCTGATCATAGTACCTGCTGATTAAATCTTATCTCTGCCCTTCTGAGGTTTATCCTATCAGCTATCCCTCTCTCTGCCTCTCTGTGTTGCTTTTACCACCCTCCCAGTTACTTCCTCTCATTCAATGAAGACTAACCAACTAGCTAATTCTCTTCCTCTCTACTTTAAGTCTTGCCATTATCCTGGGTGACTTCCAGGTCTACAGGAACAACTGATAGCTTTTTCTAGAAGTTTCTTGACTTTTTCACCTCCATTAACCCTCCTCTCCACTTCACTTTAGCCGGTCCTCTGTGGATAGATATATCTGGGACACCACCAAGAATCGTTCTACCTCTGACTAGAAACAAACATCCCATTTTGGACCAACGCACCAGTCCTTCAATAGATACCTTATTGACATGGTCTTCAGTCTATGCTCTTCAACCTTATAGGAAATTTGTGTCTGAGACAGCTAGCTATGTACCAAAGATTCATGTTCTCTTTTCTTAACGTAGAGTTTTTGCTGGGAAGTGGCTGCCCAGCCAAGTATTATATTTCTTAGCTCCTCTTGCATTTAAGTGAAGCCCCTAATTCTTGTCAAGGACCCTGAGGGTAAGTGATGTGTAATAATTCCAAGTCCAGGTGGTTAAGAAGTAAATTTACTTTCTCCAGTTTTCTGGCTGAATGTCATACCCACAAGTGACTTTGGAAAGCATATATTGAAAATATCAGGTCATCTGTTAACCTATGTCTTTGAATGACTGTTGGAGCAGAACCCCTCATCTATCCTAATCAGGAACACTCAAGTGAGTGAGTTATTGTATTAAGCCATTGGAATATTGGTCTTTGTTACAGCAGCCAGTATTGCTCTGATTATTATTAATAACTAAATATTTATTTCCTTAATCTTCCCCTGTCCACCTTCTTCACTCTTTTCTGTACTCAGTTTAGCTTCCTTGCCTAACACTTTCTTGCTGATCTTGAACCATGTGAACCTTTGTCCTTATCTCCCTCCTGCTAGGAAAAAACACAAACTTGGATTAGTCTAACTATGTACTATTTTGCTTGTGTCTCTGCTATTCTGGGCTGCTGGAGAATATTGCATAACTATGTAGATTTGTATCACCACAAATTCATGGTTTCCATCCTCACATGGATACCTAAGACTACACAATTTTTCTATTTTCCCAAGTCAACTTGCTCTCATATTCTCCTTAGGGGCTATTTCAAACATCTATCCTTGACCCATTCTTCAGCCCACTGTGGTCTTTATTCACCTCCATGACCCCCTAAGCTTTTTGAGCAGTGTTGGCTGTGTTGATCCCTCCATCTCTCTTGGTGCACTCTTCCCTTGGCTACTGTGATGACCCATGCTCCTGGTCTCTTTTTGTTTTTTGGTTTCTCATTCACAGTCGCTTTGAGAAGGTCTATTCCTCCACCCATTCCTTGAAGGTTGGTGTTCCAAAAGGTTCTATACAAGCCTCTTCTCTATGTAATATAATCCTCATCTCTTCCCACGGCTAAAAGCTTGTTCCATATGCAGATGACTCCCAAAATTTTATCTTCAATCCTACCTTCTTTTTAAGCTTCAGAGACTTATTTCCAACAGCCAGCTACATATTTACATGTGTATGCCCACAGCACCTCGAAGTCAGCATGTCCTGAAGAGAGAACAGCATCTTCTGTGCCAGCCTGCCTCTTCTTCTGTAAAACATTGGAAATAGCACCATGACCCGCCTTACTACCTATGCTGGAAATTCAGTATTTGACTTCTCCCTCCCTTGTCCAAGTTGTCAGTTTTATGTCCTAACAATATATTGAATCTATCTACTTCTCTTTACTCTACCACTCCTTCTTTTTTTTGTGAGGAAGATCAGCCCTGAGCTAACATCCACGCCAATCATCCTCTCCTTGCTGAGGAAGACCCGTCCTGGGCCAACATCCATGCCCATCCTCCTCCACCCTGCATGGGATGTTGCCACAGCATGGTCCGACAGGCGCTGCATCGGTGCGTGCCTGGGATCCGAACCTGGACCGCCAGCAGCAGAGCCCACGCACCTAACCACTGAGCCACCGGGCTGGCTCCCTACCACCTCTTCTTTATTGAAGGCACCTCATCCATTGCTTGGATTATTCTGACAGCCTCCAAGTTGGTCTCCCTGCCTCAGTCTTGACTCTTTCAATCCACTCTCCACGCTGAAGCCTGAGTGGTTGTTCTTAAATGCTGATTTTATCATATTACTCTCTTGCTTAAAAGTCTTGAATGGTTCTTCATTGACTTAAGAATGAAACAGCATTAAGTAGACACCAATACATTGATATTATAAGTCTAAACAGACTCAATTATACACATTTGTTGATCATCAGTAAATATTGTTCCATAGATTGATATTAGCAACATTAGTATAAGTGTCTTTTCATTGTGTAAACCAGATGTTAGCTCTTTTGCAGAAATCATATCATTTATTCTTTACTGAAATTTTTGAATCATTCTATCAGTTGTTGAGAGAGGAGTGTTAAAATCTCCAACTATGGTTCTAGAATTGTCTATTTCTCCTTTGTCATTTTTTTCTTAATATATTTTAAAACTCTGTGCATACACACTTATGATTATTATATCTTTCTAATACATTTGTCCTTTTTATTATGTGCTACACACTTATGATTATTATATCTTTCTAATACATTTGTCCTTTTATCATTATGAAATGTGCCTTCTTATCTCTGATAATACTCTTTGTCTTGAAATCAACTTTATCTGATATTAATATAGACACTCTAGACTTTCTCTTGTGTGCAGTTTGCATGGCATATTTTTCCCAACTATTTAATTTCAATCTATTTGCATATTTATATTTAAAGTGCATCTCCTTAAAATAGCATATATCCGGGTCTTTCAAATATTCATTCTGATAATCTCTGTCTTATAATTGGGGTGTTTAGTTCAATGACATTTAATGCAATTATTGGCATGATTAAATTTAGGTTTACCATTTTACTATTTGTTTTGGTTTGTCCTTTCTTTTTGTTCCTCTGTTCTTCTTTTCTTGCTTTCTTTTATATTAATTGAATATATTTTTTTGAACTGTATTTTAATTTATTGGGTTTTAATTATACCTCTTTGAATTAGTTTTAGTGGTTGCTCTTGGAATTACAATATACATCCTTAACCTTCACAGTCTACTTAAATTTAATACTGTATGACTTCATGTAAAATGGGGATGCTTTGCAACTCTATAGGTCCATTTACAACCCTCCCATCTGTTGTGCTAGAAATGACATATGTATCACATCTACTTATGCTATAAATCTCATGGAAGATTGTTATAGTTTTTGCTTTAAAGTTATATGCATTTTAAAGAAATTAAGAGACTATAATTGTTTATTATATTGAAATAGATGGTTACAATTTTTTTTTTTTTGGTGTGGAAGATCAGCCCTGAGATAACACCCATGCCAATCCTCCTCTTTTTGCTGAGGAAGACTGGCCCTGAGCTAACATCTGTGCCCATCTTCCTCCACTTTATGTGGGATGCCACCACAGCATGGTCTGACAAGTGGTGTGTTGGTGCACACCCAGGATCTGAACCCGGGCCACCAGTAGCGGAGCGCGCGCACTTAACCGCTATGCCATGGGGCTGGCCCCAGATGGTTACAAGTTTTGATGCTCTTCATTCCGTCCTGAAGATTGTAATTTCCATCTGGTATTATATCTCCTCGACCTAAAAAATTTCCTCTAACTTTTGTTTTAGTGCAGAGTTGCTGTGTAATGTATTCTACTAATTTTATTGTTGTCTGGATGTGTCTTTATGTTTCCTTCATTCTTAAGGATATTTTCACTGGATTTAGAATTTAGAATTTCTATGTTTTTCTTTCAGCACTTTAGAGATGTTGACTCACTCATTTCTGGTCTCCATGATTTCTGATGAAAAATCAGCAGTAAATTAAATCATTGTTCAAATGTATGTAATGTGTTGTTTTTTCTGGCTGCTTTCAAGATTTTCTCTTTACTTTTGGGTTCTACAGTTTGACTATGGTATGTTTAGATGTATTTATTTTGAATTTATCCTGCTTGGAGTTTTCTGAGCTTCTTAAATCTGTTAACTTATGTCTTTCATCAAATTTGGGAATTAGTCATTCATTATTTCATAAAATGTTCTTTTCTGTCCCATTTTCTATTTCTGGGATTGCAATTACCCATATGTTAGACCTTTTGATATGTCGCTCATTCTGTTCCAAATTTCTCTAGGAGGTCTGTCTAGTTTCCAAATACCTTTAAATTAGAGCACATCTAGAGATATAGGTTGATATTAATGAGTATTTCTGTTTTTGCTCCAGATGTTAGAAAGCAGAAAAAAAAAAAAAACCCAACAAAGTTAAGGTTCAATCACAGAAAATATATTTTCCATATATGATTCCTTTCCACACTTAAAATTTTCAGTTTCCATTTTATTAACCTCATTAAATATGTTACTATTTTGCAAGCCATCCAATATAAAAACTATGTCACATACAGTAAATGCTTGTGAAGAAAATGAAAGAGCCTCCCCCCAAAAACCTACAGAAAATAACCTCTAATTGCCCAATGCATAAGAATCTGTGAGATTGACTCATCAAAATTAAATGCAGTTAAATATTCATCTAATGAGCATTATATGCATTGAATTATTCCATTCACTACGTTAGATAAGAGATGAGCAAGATATAGATAGTGCTGGCCTTCAAAGAATTTAAAATTGAGACAAGTGTAAAAATATACATAAACAATAATTTTGTAAGAAATTTGAAATAAAAGTCATGGTGACCTCCGCTATTATAGATAGGAAGCAAAGTTCTGTGGTGCACAGAGAAGAAATTATGAGTTGGTGTTTGATGTGGGTCTTAAAGAATGTGTAAGATTCTGACAGATGGGGAAGAGGTCAACAAGTCACATGGTGACCTATATGTGAAGTTAGCACAATCTGAGGACTGGGGGCAGACCAAGAGTGTGAAGTGGCTTGTTAAGTTAGCATAAGAAAGCATGACTAAAGTGGAAAGAGGGCTACACAGAGCTGAATACCAAAAGCAGCCACAGTAGCTGAGAAGTAGCAGAGAGTGTAAAAGCTACAGATCTAAGCTAAGCCAAAGGCCAAATGCCACCAACTCTTACGAATGTGTTGTTATTTAGTGGGTGGTAGTGGTGGTGGTGGTGGTGTGTGTGTGTGTGTTTGCAGTTACAAGCAAGAAGACCAGAAAAATTCTGTTGGCAACATAAACGGTATTCCGGCTAGCTTTAATTGTCTTCAGCACCATTTAGTGCTCCTCCACAGTGCGCCTAAGGGAACGGAGTCCGATTAGTTTCTGTTGGATAGTCAATATTGATTGCATCTAGGGTTCAAGAGAGAGACGGAGAAAGAGATTGAAAGACAGAGAGAGAGAGGAGAAATAAAGTTAGACAAGGAGGTCGGAAGTAGAATTTTATAGACCTCATTACATTTTTTAAAAATATTTTTAATTTTTATCAAAAATAAAACATGTACATGGTTGATAATCCAAGAGTAGCTAAGGATTTATAATGAAAATATCTTAGTCACACCTTTTCCTATTCTCCATTTCTTCCTCCCTAGAGGAAGCTACTTTTACACTGGTCTTCTTGCATTTTCAATGTATTGCATTTTGTATACACTTATCATTATTACTTGATTTATTAATTTTAGACATGATTTATTGCCTTTCTGCTATGATAGATAAAATTTAGCCCACTTACATAACTTAATTTCCTTTTTACCTCATGCCAATATAGTTATTATTCTACTTTTGTTCCTTGTGATAAACTTAACTAATATATTTTTAATTCCTGTTCCGTACTACAGGCAACAAATCTTGACTCCTCACATAGTAATGTGACTTTCCTTCGTCTTTTCTTTCCCCTTTTCATAAAATTTCTGGCATTTCACTTTTCCTTAAAATTATTAAAGTTGATAAGAAATAAATTCTATTTAGTAATCATAATTAATTCTTCTGGGTTTTGCTTAGTGATTGATTCTGAAATTTGAAAATCAGTACATATCATTTACTTTGTTATAGCTATGAAACTGTGTTTGCTGTCGTTACCAGTATGCTATGATTATATTTTCCTTTTTAGGCATCTTTTTGTTTTTTTCTGAAAATTTTACACATATTTCTAATTTGCTGCATTGACTTTTTATATTACATTTTGAAGTTCTTACTAACTTTTCAAGAATGGTATCAAGTCCACAGATACCTTTCTCTGGAACCTTGTATCCTCCTGGAACCCTGTATTTTCCTGCTACAAGTTTTGTACTGAGTTTATACCTATTTTATTCCTTTATAAAAATTTTAAGGGATCCTGATAAAGAGCAAAGATAAGTACATCTTCATTTTGACCTTTGTTACTCTTGACATTTATTGAAGCAGGAAGATGCTTGCTGGAGGCTAATTCTAGCCTACTTTTTTTTGATTTTTCAGTCTCCTCAAACTTTGTAGGTATGAAACAGAACACATTTTCTACCCAATCTCTATGGATTGCACCTCTTTATAATGCAAATGTTTCCGAACAACTTAAATTTCCTTCATTCTCAAGGTGTTCTCCTAGGCCTATTCACATCTTATTTTTAGAGTCTCAGGGAAATCTCATCATATGCTGGTTTCAGTTACCATCTATTCGCTGATAAGTCCCAAATCAGTATCTCCAGCTGAGATCTCTTTTAAGCTTCTTTCTTGCTTACTAGACATATCCTCAGCAAGTACAGAGTGCCATCATCATCTTTCCTCCTGAATCTGCTTCTCCTCATGTGGTCTCAGCCTCGTTAAGTAGACCCATCATTCACTTACAAAATTGACAAGGCCTTAGCTAGACTCACCAAGGAAAAAAGAGAGAGAGGACTCAAATAAAATCAGAAATGAAAGAGGAGATGTTACAACTGATTCTGCAGAAATACAAAGGATGATAAGAGACTACTATGAACAATTATACGTCAACAAATTGGACACACTAGAAGAAATGGATAAATTCCTAGAAATATACCATGTACCAAGACTGAGTCTTGATGAAATAGAAAATCTGAACAGACCAATTACTAGTAAGGAGATTGAACCAGTAATTAAAAACCTCCCAACAAACAAAAGCTCAGGATCAGATGGCTTCCTTGGTGAATTCTACTAAAAATACCGTATGATCTCACTCATTAAGTAGTAGATAATAACAACAACAAACAAACACATAGAGACAGAGATTGGACTGGTGGCTACCAGAGGGGAAGAGGGGAGGGAGGAGGGCAAAAGGGATAATTAGGCACATGTGTGTGGTGATGGATTGTAACTAGTATTTGGGTGGTGAACATAAGAACCTGATGTAATCCATGCAGAAATAGAAGTACAATGATGTACACCTGAAATTTATACAACATTATAAACCAATGTTACTGCAATAAACAAAAAATTAAAAAAAAATTCAAATAAGAATTAACATCAATGTTTCTCAGACTCTTCCAAAAAATAGAAGAAAAAGGAACTCCTTCAAACTCATTTTATAAGGCCAGCATTACATCGATACCAAAACTAGACAAAGACACCACAAGAAAAGAAAATTACAAGCCAATATCCCTAATGAACATAGATGCAAACATCTTCAACAAAACATTAACAAATCAAATTCAACAATACATTAAAAGGATCGTACACCGTGATCAAGTGGGATTTATTCCAAGGATGCATCCATTTGCAGGATGGTTCAACATCCACAAATCAGTCAACATGATACACCACATTAAGAAAACAAAGGGTAAAAATCATATGATCATCTCAATAGATGCAGAAAAAGCATTTGACAAAATTCAACAATTGATTTATCATAAAAACTCTCAACAAAGGGGCTGGCCCCATGGCATAGCAGTTAAGTGTGCGCGCTCCGCTGCTGGCAGCCTGGGTTCGGATCCTGGGTGTGCACCGAAGCACAGCTTCTCAGGCCATGATGTGGTGGCATCCCATATAGAGTGGAGGAAGATGGGGAAAGATGTTAGCCCGGGGCCAGTCTTCCTCAGCAAAAAGAGAAGGATTTAGCTTCTCTAAATGGATGTTAGCTCAGGGCTGATCTTCCTCACAAAAAAAACAAAAAAAGACCAAAAAAAAAAAACCTTTCAACAAAGAGGGAGTGTACCTCAACATAATAAAGGTCATATGTGACAAGCCCACAATTAAAGTCATACCAAATGATGAAAAGCTGAAAGCCTTTCCTCTAAGATCAGGAACAAGACAAGAATGTCTACCCTTGCCACTTCTATTCAATATGGTATTGGAAGTCCTAGCCAGAGCAATTAGGCAAGAAAAGAAGTAAAAGTCATCCAAATTGGAAAGGAAGAAGTAAAACTGTCACTATTTGCAGATGACATGATATTATATATACAGAAAACCCTAAAGACTCCATCAAAAAACTGTTAGAACTAATAAACAAATTCAGTAAATTTGCAGGATACAAAATCAGTACACAAAAATCTGCTGTGTTTCTATACACTAATTTTATCACAGAGAAATAAAGAAAAAAAATCCTGTTTACAATTGCATCAAAAAGAATAAATTACTTAGGAATAAATTTAACCAAGGAGGTGAAATACTTGATATATTGAAAACTACAAGATACTAATGAAAGAAATTGAAAAAGACGCAAATAAATGGGAAGATATTCTGTGCTCATAGATTGGAAGAATAAATATTGTTAAAATGTCCATACTACCCAAAGCAATCTACAGATTCATTGCAATTCCTATCAAAATTCCAATGGCATTTTTCAAAGAAATAGAACAAATAATCCTAAAATTTGTATAGAACCACAAAAGAACCCCAAAAGCCAAAGCAATCTTGAGAAAGAAGAACAAAGCTGGAAGCATCATGCTCCTTGATTTCAAACTATATTACAAAGCTATAGCAATTAAAACAGTATGGTATTGGCTTAAAAACAGACACTTAG